TATGAAATATTTGTTCTCGTAAAGAACGCCATATGGCGATGAGAGTCTCGCAACCTACCTCAGCGATAGGTGTAGCACTGCTTGCTCCAGGCTGGTTGTGTACTCTGGCTGTGGGATATATTAGTGTGCATACTAGGTGCATAACGAGAGCCTGGAAGTACGCGCTCCAAGACCGGACCGGGTATTCGGACTCCGCTGTTATTATGGGACGCAACTGCTTAATCTAAACTACTATGGTCCTCAGCAGGCGTAGTGTCCAATATTGGATGCATGCAGAACTATCTCGGCTATGTATAGAGGGTGGGTCGGATTTCGGTTCGTATCGCTGACCGGGAACCTGCATGAACGCCGCCAACTCTCCAATGAGCTTCTAGACCCACGAATCCGTACGCTAGTCATGCGTGATAACATATCACGGCCATGTCTTCAACCACTAAGATTCTGTCCCGTCTAGTCCACAGTTTCAATAGATTCTGGGATATGGTCCGCCAGATGGGTGAAATCTGGCATATCGTCGTCACCCTCAGGCTTATCGCTATCGGCGTCATTGTTCCACTCCTCCTCCTCCTCTTCATCCTGGTCTTCTTCACTAGCGGCTGTGTCTAGGCTTTCTTTATACCATAACTCTGCCAACTTAGATCTATGCTCTTGAATCTGACAGTACGTATACGAATCAATTCCAAGGTCCGTTGCTAGCTCCCACCAGATCTTGTCAACCTCGCTGGAGAAATACGAGGCTGGTGCACCAACTTCGTCTCGACAAGTCAAGGTGATCTCTTTGAGACCCGGAGGCGGCTTGGCGTCGTCAGAATCCGCCGACACGAAGCCTGCCACCCAATTCTCAATTTCTTCGCCAGGATAATAGATCTCTAGTGTCTCTAGCTTGGGTGGCATATCCTTTGGTCGGCAGGATTTGCTCTCCCAAGGCATGGATCCGACAGCAAAGAGAAATGCTTGCGGAAGGACGAGATGTCTCAAGACATCGAAGTGCTTAAGTGAATCCTTCGGGCTTGTTATCATATCGAGCAGCCACTCGAGCTCTGAGTCATCATCGGTTATTTCAAGCGTGATAGCAAGCGTCTCTAAGGTGCTTTTCATGCTATTCAATTGATCCACGAAGTAGCCTCCTTCAAGCTGCGTATTCAAGTCATCACCAATGTGGTAGCCGTCATTGATACTGCAAGAGTAAGAGCTTAGCATGTTTACCGCAAAAGCCAAATGTGTGGTCTTACAGTAGTATCTTGAGGCTTCGAAGCTGAACGCAACCGAGTGCGTCGAAAAGATCACCAAGTTGTATTTCGGCCTTTTCGATGAGGAGACGATCAGCAAACTGTACCGATACAGTCAAAGCTAGGTCCTCAAGGTTCTCGGCACCCTCCAGACATCCAGGTCCGTTGAGACGCAGAATGGTGCCGATGGAAATCGTTTTCAGATCCAAGCTTGTCAGGCTAGCAAAATTGATCCCGGACTTGAACAGATGTGTATCACTAGTAGTGAGATGACGAAGAGTACCCCATCCATTGACGATGCTGTCAGGGGCGGACATGCCCCCAAAAAGCCCCGATATGCACTCGCTTGATGGCGGACCTCGATGATGATCCTTGACCCAGAACTCGAGGTGTGTGAGGTTTGGAAGGAGTAAAAGTAAAATCCCAGCAAACCCTGACTCAATCGAGTTTTGAATCGTTTTATGCCAGGGATGCTTCTTGTAGCCTAGTTCTTCCAGCCTTACTAGACTTCGCGTGCGCAACGGCGCAAGGCTAAATCCTTGCTCTTCACAGATCTTTGCGACATTCTTGCGTACAGTTCTGATGCGTAAGCTTTTCACTTGGGTTGCAAGATCAGGGCGATCGAAGAGCGTACGAAGGAGCCTCAGAAGAGGGTTTACCTTGGGGTGACAGCCACAGGAGATCGATAGCTTCGCTACAGTATGCAGAACCTCCTGCCCAGCCGCACGGAACTTGCGAGACGTGAGACATAGACTTTTGAGAGACCTGGGTGCGGCCGAGTCAGGAAGATGAGTCGCGATCTGCAGTAGCAGCTCCTCAGGTAGCTTATGGATCGGTGCGTCGAATGGAAGCGCCATTATGGGACCAGAAGAGCACTTGAAGTACTGCGTGAGATGAACGCGAGGCCGGTTGTGGTCAGCACTTTGTTCCCACCTGTTGCGCGAATCTTTCGGAAAGTCGTATGTAACAAAACGCGCTTCTTGTGAGTTGCAGGGCAGAGGCAAACACTGTTGTATACTCTGTCAGCTAGCGAGATTGGCTGCGCAACTAACTCGAGGGCAAATGTCACCGAAAGAGGTCGGAACTGCTAAGCTTTTATGAGTTGGGCTGCTAAATCGTGGCGCTGGTGTCTTGGACTGGTGATGAACGGCTGACATGATGCTTGCGAATGAGGACGAGAGTGGTGGCGGGGATAATCTCACATGATGACGTAATCACATGCTCATCCATGGAAGGGGTGCAGACACAGGCTACAAACTCGACAACTCTCAGTGTTTCTCTGGTAGGTACGACTAGTGGCCTTCTCGTGTGGGTAGAATGAAATTACACGTCCCTTGCTGGCGATTTCCCCTCCCTCAGTTGCATCTTGAGCAGGAATAACAAACTTGTCACCACACCCATGCCGCTCAGTCCGACACTAACGTACATGGCCCCTCGATAGCCGCTCAGTTCGTCCGAGACCGTCGCTCCGCCATTGTTGACATGCCCCTCCACTGTGCCCGCAATGCCAACCCCGATACTGATACTGTAGTTGACGATGGTGTTGACTAAGCTCGCCGCCATACCTTGGTGTTTCTTAGCAACAGCGTTACTCATAATCAGTGTGCCAGCAGGAAAGCTCATGTCCATGCCCCATGGAATGATAAGCGTGGTCACGAATGTCTGCGCCCAATACACTTGACCGACTGGCAGTGTAGCGACGAGGATACTACCAGTCAAGAAAGCAAGCATACTGATGAGCATAACCCATCCTGGACCGATACGTGAGATGACATGGCCGGTGGTAACGGCGGCGATGAAGCCTGAAATTGCGACAGGACAGAGATGAGCCATCGTCAGGAGAGGAGAGTCGCCTCGCAGCCGTTGGAGAAATTGGATGAAGTAATAGACCCAGATACCTGCATTCTTTGTCAATAAGATTTTCCCCTACACATGCTTTGGTAAGGTCGTTACTTACCGAATGCAGCCCAGCCGCATGCTATGCAGGTCAACACGAATGAGACATCCGTGCTAAGAACGTCGAACGGGATGAGGGGCTTCTTGGCAACTTTGATCTCGATCCAAAAGAAGACCGGAAACAAAAGAATGCCGATTATTAGCAACACGTAAATGTACGGGTGCTCCCATCCAAAGCCTGGTGCTTGGTTCCAGGCAAAGTTGAATAATATCATGGCGGTGATACCCACGCTTGCGCCAAGGAGGTCAAGCTCGCGAATTCGCTCTCTATGGGTGAGACTGCGAACATCCGCATCAAGAGGCACCGAGGGAAGAATGAAGATTGACAAAGAGGCAAGGCAGAAGAGCGCAATGCCAAACGTCCAAAAGGTCCACGGCCACCACAAAAGCGACCATAACCCAGCGAATGTCCCGCCGACTACAGCACCACCTACAAAACGTTAGAAAGCATACCAAGGAATCGATCAAAGAATACCTGCCGGGTGCGCATGCTCCAAACAGCGAGAAAACCATATCCTTCCTCCTTCCCTCATTGTATGTTGCGCCTAAGAGGCCGAGTGCATTAGGCAGTAATATTGCTGGCCCGATGCCACCCAACACACGTGAGAAGATGAACAGCACTTGGCCGCCATTCCCGTCAACGTACACACTGCATCCAGCCACTATGTTCCAGATAGCGAACCATACAAAGCCCACGATCAGCATGTTCTTGTATCCGAACAGATCTCCACATCGACCGGACAAAAGGATGAAAGTGCCAACCGTTAGTGAATAGCCTGCTATCAGCCAGGACAAGATGCCAGGGTCGGTGATGCCAAGATCAGGTCCGATGATGTGCAGGATATTCAAGGTACCGAGGAGACCTGCTTGAGTGACGAATTGAGCAGAACAAAGCAGGCCGACGAAGAGAATCTCACGCATTGGAGACATGGTCTCTGCAATAGACTTGGTTTTCGCTAATTCCAGGTCCTGGTGCTGCTTAGAAGCGTGCGCAGAGGCGTGAGAGCTGTGGCGATCCATGTCTTCGTGGGAATCACTGTAGTCGAGGTCGCTATCTGGAGGAGAAGAAAGTTTCTCGACCGTTGGGTCGGGTGATAATCTGGTCTCGTCCATTCTTAGACGCTTCGAGGACACGACAAAGCAAGGATTTCGTCGGATGTGATCTTGCAAATGTCTTTGAGTCGTAAGGGACGGCTCGGAGGTAGTAAGTCGTGTCCTTGGAAGCTGAGCGATGATGAAAGACTTTCAATTTTCGCGCCTGAGTTGTTTTGGCTGCACGTTCCGAGATGGAACCGCGATGGCGACAGTGCTGATCGACTACCGACGTGTTTGGACGCGGGTGCAGAAAACGTCCGTGTGAAAATCAATATCATTTTCCAAAGAAGAGGGAGATCTGCCTACAAGATACATAACGACGCGTTTTACGAGCTAGCTTGTCGCCTAACGTACTCGACATTTGCATGCTGATAGTTCAGGTTGTAAAGCTTTACGTGAGCGCGGAATTGCGTCGTTAGAGCGAAGAAAAGCGGGTCTGCCGAACCTCGGCCGCTGTCAAAGGCACCATCTCATGATATTAAGGTGCGCAAAAACGGTTTCTTCGGGCAAAAGAAAAGCGGGTTTCGGTTTCGCATGCAAGAGTCTAGATCCGCCAACAAAGCTTTCGCAGTTTGCGATGCTATGTAAGCCTTGACATAAGCGTTCGCCGTGAACATGCGAAAACCGTCACACCAAGTTGTCGCGAAAACCCCCGCACCCAGCGCCCCAAGGGTAATCCTCTCGCTCTATCTGCCACGGTGACTAGAGCAAGTTCCCCAACTACTGTTGTTTCCTGTCCTCGTAAACCCGCACTCCCAAGAGTTTCCATACAGCCCAGCTGTGACCACCCACCCAAATTGGCCCGCCTCGCCAAAGCGGCAATACGTCATCCGTTCCACGCCTCCTCTGAGCGACAGGCTTCTCCCACTCTCCGTGCTGGAACCGTGCGACATCGTCGCTGCTTACAGCATGTGTTCTCGCATTTGCAGCCATCGTCCAGAACCCTATCACATGGCCCTGGTCGATCTTGTGTTTTAGCCAGCCTTTGCCCTCATTCTCTTCCGGGCTACTATCAAGAAGTGATAAAAGCTCGGTGCAGGTATATTCGGCTTTGCCTTTTGGTAACGTTGCAGAGCTCAATTGAGTGCGGTGAGCTGAAGTTGGAATATTGTCCACGATGATGGGAGACCAGAGGAAAGGAACTGGCGCATACATGAGCCTTAATGACAGGCTCAGCAAGACTGCGACAGGAATATCAAGACCGATCGATACGCCTGCACGGAGAGCTGATCCGAAAGTGAGCCTTGGTGGAGATGTAGGCGTCGAGAAGTAGAGCAAGTGCCTTTGGAACGCGGTATAGGTAGAGCGAGACATGGTTGCCAATTCTCTTTCTTTTTATGGGGAGTACGCAACGAGTTGAAGACGTTGAGCGGACACGTCCATTCTCTGAAAAAGCATTCATGGTGTAATATTGGACAGTCATGACGTCACGCGAAGCTACTGCATCAGAAGACAACACGATACATGAAAGAGGTAGGCTCTCAGCTAGCTCGGTTCAAGTCGTTGTTTCATCAGCGTCTAGGACAATTGCGAAGGAACTTAAAGCTGCGGAACCTATTTGTGAAGCGACAAGATGAGGATTCTGTTCACTGCTTAGGCATCTGTTCGCCGAATACACATTGTAAGCCTTCGACATCAATCTTACTCGCGCACGCAGGGTATGAGTCCCCTTTCGCGTTGTCTATAGCATTATCAAGCCTCCTACAGCTGCGGCAATGATCGTACTACCCAAAAAACTCGTGGAAAGACCTCCGGACGCAGCTGCGGTGTAAGTAGGCATAGGGGAGCCAGTTGCCGAGGGTGCAGTCCCATTACCGGAGGTTCCGTTGCCTACTAGGTCTGGGAACAGGTAGCTGGTGTTGGCGTCTACAACAATCCAGTTCCGCACCAAAGCCGTTCCGTTCATGACTGACTCCCACTGCTCCGCTGTGCATTGTCCGGGATCAAGAACGTAACACTGCGTGCCTTCGTCGACGATTGGTTCATTGGTTATGTTGTACACATCGCTTGGCCCTTCGGTTGCGTAGTCAGGATTTTCAGTTGTGGAAACATTTCCGGTGCTGATGTCGCGGTTGAAGAGTGCACGTGTAAAGATCCTGTACGCAGTCTCGGGTTGGTAGGCTGGTACCTCGTGGCCAGCTTCGTACACGCGTGTGAAGGACAGATTTCCGTACTGACGCACTTGACCTCCAATATAGGTGTCGTTGACAATGACGGGTGCATACCCTGCATCCGCAAACGAGGTGGCGTTGTCGTAAGGGATGGCGAGGGAGAGCAGTTCACCACCATACCCTGTGTTCATTATGCAAACTCAGTACGTGTCTCACATCAATGTCTTACTGGGTGCTACTCACAGTTGCAGGCGTAGTCTCGGTCGCCGTACACCAGCGTTACCTTGATGCCTTCTTCGAGAAGGTATGCCAAGTCTTCCTTCCAGCCTGGACGTGGGTAGTCGCCAATGCCGCGGAATGCCCGCGATACCGCAGAGTTTGACTGAGTCCAGTTCAAGGGCACGCCTAGCCCCTGCTGCACATGAGGCTGATTGAGCCAGCCCTGATACCATGGAGGTGGGAATGCTGCCGCGCCAGGAGCAGAGATGTCGTAGTAATTGAGGTCGGTGTCGAAGTACGGATCGCGAATTGTCTCGGAACAGAATGTCTCTGCAGCCTCGCATACTTCGTTGACGGTCTCGTTGAACCCTTGGTTGGTGGGATCAAAGGCAACACTAAGGTTGCGACACTCTTCAATTTGGTCAAGACATCCTCCTTCACGGTACAGATTGTCAAGCACTTCTTCGTAACGCGACTCATTGACGGCCTTTATACCGTATGTGTTGTTGTACTGCATGGTCGGGTAAGCTGGCCACTGCACGTAGCGATCGATGCAGCCGTTGATGATAAGTAGAGTGTCGAGATGGAGAAGATGAGTCTGACCAGCTTCGCTCCACGTTCCGTTCTCTATTTTCTCGTTCTGCTCCTGGAAATAGGCCGCAAAAGCAGGTCCGTATCGACCTCCGTACGACTCAGTTGCGATCGAGATTCTGTCATCATTCGGCTTGTGTTCAGGAAATTCTTGAAACCAGACTTGGGCGAAGTTCCAGAGAGCTCGTGCAGAGTTCTCCGTGCCACGGGTGGTGAGATTGTAGTTTTCACTGGGATAGGTGCCAACGTAGAAGCTGTTGTTTTGTGAGGGGATAGGACCGTTCTCAAAATCTACCACTTCGAGATCGCCGGTGTCTAGATTAGTGGTGATATTCACCAAACTGTCGTAGCTCATGCCTACTTGGACGGGTTGATCGAGGTAAAGCATGTTAACTGTACTCTTCAGCTTTTGTTCTTTACAGATCAGATTTTGTAATTTGGCTGATCTTACCCTCATTATTCCAAGACCACTCGTTGAGGTAAGTACTATTAGAGTCGGCGCCAATAAAGCAAGGTCCGTTTTCACGCAACAGTCCGACGAAAGAACTGGAGCCCGGTCCACCTCGAAACTGTTAGCGAACACTGTAAGAATCCCTTGTAGGCCACCTACCGTTCATCCAAATGGAAAGAGGCGCATTGGCAGGGTCTTTCCTGGATTCGAAAAACCAAAAATAGGTATTGATCTCATATGTCTGGTTCTCAACACCTAGATCGGCCAGTGCTCCAGCCGGGCTGCAAGTTGGTGTACGAGATCAGTATATATCTCATATGCAGTCCGTGCAGAGACACTTACAGATGGACATAACCGGAGAAGCTTCGGACGCCGTCAGTGGTTTCGCAAAGTTCAGTCTGGGGACAATCAGTGAACAATGGAAGTAATCTACAAGGATTTGACCTGCCTCCTTGTACGAGATTCTGACTCCTTCATCAAGCTGCGATTCCAGGATGGTCACGCCTTCTGGCTTTGGAGGGAATTGGGCGTTGACAACCCCGCTCAAAAGGCCGATTGCGCCGAGCAACGGGAGTCCAAATGCACCCATTATGATTATAGTCAAAGTGCAGAGAGGTTTTCCTCCCCACTTCCTGGTACGTATAGTTTTTGGAGGGTACGTAGCCCAACTTTATACTAGGTCGCACCACTCTGCGTACTTGATTCCAGCTGCATGTCAACTGGGTACCAGCTTGCATGAGCTTACATATCTGGTATTGAGCTTCCTGGTTGAGCTATAGCGCGTGTATTGTTGCAGCAGCGCGGGATTGAGGCAGCCCATTCATGACGTCGAATTACCTTTAGCGAAGTGAGATGGGCGGGGAAGAATGCGTAGCCAAGACTGCCAAGGAGGCTTTTCGTCACTTGTTTATTCGGCATCGTCTTGGTTGATGGGTTACCGGCTGAGTGGGGTAATGGGATCGTTGCTAGGATGCGCATAAGGAAGGTGGTGAGGCTTGCGGCGATAAGATAGCCAAAGTTTCGAGCAAGGAGAGCGTCATTCGATTCGTTTGTAAAGTTATACGGCTCAAATCTATCACACCATTTGTATGCAGCAACTAACATCAAGGCCAAGATCCAGTCATGGCGTAAGCAGCTCAAGCAATGCCGGCGCATTGCCAATGTCACTAGAGCTTATGAGCGTGGCATATCGCATGATGCAATATCTTTTACCACTTCGATGCAGAGGTTTGAGCTCTGTTGGCGTCTTCCTGCCTGACGCGGTTTTTGGTGTTCAGATTTACCGATGGATTTGTATACAAGATATATGGTAGCAATCCGACAATTGGTGCCGACGCTAGGATGGGAGCAATGAGAGCAAAAACGTTCAATAATACAGGCCTCCTTCAGGTTCCCGAGGCGCCATGGAACGCCAGTCGCAATTGTAACCTCGACAACACCCCAGCGAATATGCAGATAAAGTTTGAATCGCGAAAGCAACGGTCCAACTTCCAAAATGGTTCCAGTTCAACGAAACATTGGGTATCGATCAAAATGCACCTCTCCTGACCTAGACAGGCGCACCCCAAGCTGCGCGCAGACGGCGAGCGAGCTGTATGTCTTTCTGTTGTATGGTGACGCGCTTGGCGTGGATAGCGCAAAGGTTTGCGTCGTGGAAGAGGTTCACGAGGAAGGCTTCTGTGGCTTCCTGGAGGGCTACAATGGCTTGACTCTGCCACCTATTGGGGCCGTCCTCGGTTGTGACTGTCTGTGCGATCTCGCGGACCTGGAGAGATGTTAGTTGGGTGTCTCGGCGCCGTACTGGTGACGGGTACTTGCGAGGCGCTGAAAGGGGAGTTTTAACAAGAGCAGGTCGGTCGACTTTTGGTAGCGCTTGATCTCACGGAGAGCGACGGTGCCGGGCTTGTAGCGCTTCTTCGCGCGGTCTGGAGCAGGTCCTGCTTGTCCAACTGGGCGCATGTCAGCTCGGCTGCGCAGACTCGTCAGTCAGTCAGTCAGTCAGGCGCAGAACGTACGTCGCTTGCCCGAGTCCCTCCTGCTTCCAATACTCGATCTTCCGCCCCGCGACGGCCGCGCCTTGTTGCGCCTTATTGGAGATTTGGGTGACATGGCTGGAGTGGGATATGGATGGATGCGTCGAGGGAATGCCCGCGGTGGGAGACGTCAGGGCGCGTTCACGTCGCGAAAAGTCGCGAACCCCAAAGCGCGACGAGGATGGAATGGGACGGGTCGTCGAGTCTTGCGCGCTGTGTCTGCTTCAGGAATAGCGATGAGGATGGAGTGAAGCACGGGCGCACTGCTCGTCTTCGCGTTGATGCAGTTGACGCGACCCGGGCGAGGGGCTGGGCATTGTGGCTGGTCCGCATTCACCGACCGAGGGAAGGAGCTTGGACCCTGTCGAATGAACGTTCGGCGGGACGAGGAAGGCACAATCGCGTGCTGATTGGACTAGCGCCTTGGCAGGCTATCGGACAAGTTACGTAGCCACATGGGGTCGGTCCATCTGTCACTCGGAGTCTCGGAAAGTGAATGCGTCTGCGCAGCGACGACACCTGTCCCTTCGCTTTATATCTGGCTGCAGGTGCTGGAACCTGCTTGCTCCTCTTGTCTTTCCACATTCCATATCATCCCTACCACAACCCGCCATGGCCAACGTCTTGCAAGGAGGGGACGGCATGATGGGAGGAGGGGCCGGAGGCTTTCCGCTCGAGCAATGGTTTTATGAGATGCCTGTGTGCACGCGCTGGTGGATGACGGCGGCGCTGAGTGCAAGTGTGCTGGTGCAATGCCACATCATCTCGCCCTTCCAGCTGTTCTACAGTGTGCGCACTGTCTTCTTCAAGAGCCAGGTCAGTTCATCGCCGTGCCTACCCACCGCTGCTCGTACTCATGTCCAATAGTACTGGAGACTACTCACAACCTTCTTCTACTTTGGCCCCCTC